GGGAGCGCCGCCGCGCTTCCCAAGCGGCGCACTATCCATTGCGCCACCGGGCCGGCCCCACTTAGCCTCTTGAGCCTTGGTTTCCTCATCGCTAAGAAGGGATGATGCTCTGGGTCCTGCCCGCCCCTCATAGTCCTGCAGGGGATCACCTGAGGCATGGTGGATGAGAGATGGACAGAGGGCCAGGAAGGAGGCACTGCACCAGCCCTTAGCCTCCTCCACAGATGCTACACCTTGGACCTCAGCTCTTGTGCTGCGGACTTTGGCCCCGGAGTGGCCACCATGTCCCAAGCACCTGGGACCCCCTGTGTGGGGTAGTGCTGGGCTTTAAGACCAGTGTCACCCGCTCCCCAGCTGTTAGAGAAGAAATGCAGCTGCCTCGCTGTGCTCCCAGAAGCCAAGGGGCTTGGCGTAGGTCTCCAGGGTCAGGACTGGATGATGTTTGCTGAGAGCGTGTGGGGTGCCTGGCCCTGTGCTAAGCACTTTATGTGACTTAATTGTCACTAGAACTTTATGACTTAGGTACTATGACTGTCATTTTTACTGCTGAGGACACTGTAGAGGGTGTATAACTTGCCCTAGTACCCAGAGTGAGGTAGGGTGGAGCTAGGATTCAAACTGAGGCCCAGAGCCCATTCTCTTGATCACTCCTCTGTTTAGCCTCTGGCTATGCCCACGTCAGAGTCACCTAGAAACCTGTTACAGGTACAGATTGCCCGCCCTCACTACCTGCTGGTAGCCATCGGGACCCACCTGCACGCTGTAGGATCAGCTCTGTGAGGGCAGAGGGTACAGAGGTGGGTGCAAGGACACTGCCCGCAGCTGCCTGGCTGGATGGCCTCAGTAGCTTCCCTGCTGTGGGCCGCATGAATGGGGGTACAGCCCTCTTCCCTGCATTCCCAAATGCATGGTATTTTCATTGCAGGCTGACAAGGGGAGACATTGGTTACCTCTCAAAGGGTCACTAAGGGGCTGTACAGGGTGATGGCAGTGGGAGGTGGCAGAGCTCTGCTGCCAAAACTAGATGGAGAACCTGCAGCCCACCCAGCAGGGCATGTGGTGGGAGAAGCAAGCCCACCCCTCCTTGTGCTGCCACCCAGGACCCCAAAGGGCAGCAAGTGAAAGTTCAGAAAGCAAATGGAATGAGAGCTTCAATGGAAAGCATGTGGCGGGGGTGTCTCTGATCCTCTGGTTCGGGGGTGTGGGAGCCGAAACCGTGTGGCTTGAGGGACCCAGAGCTTGGAAGGGGGGAGCTGAGGCTGCTCCAGATGAGGTGTGAGGGCAACTTCGGGACAACGGCCTTGAGTGCAGGGGCGGGTAGAACACAGGGCTGGGAGCCCGGGGGCTGTCTGCACCCACCCTGCCACCAGCTTTAGTCCCTGGGTGTGCGGGGGCCCTGCTGGAGGCCAGATGCCTGGGTTCCTATTCCCAGTCCCTCGTCTCCCTGCTGCCCCTCACGGGGTGGCAGGAGCAAGTGCATTCATTCGTGGGAAGCACCGAGCACAGTTGCTGGCACCGATTGGCACTTGATAATGTGACCGTATTCACAAAGCAATGGTATTAGGATTTACTTAACATTTTTCTTTAAAACAACTCACATTTTACTTAAATTTATTTTAGACAGGAAGCCCTGTATTACTATTGTGCATGGAAAGCTGGCCTTACTTGCCGTTCACTGTAGGTATTTGTACAAGTAAATCCAGTGTAGAGAAAATGACATTACTCCATTTTAGCCAGTTGCTGCGGCTGTCCAAGGCTTTAAGCCCGATGCCCACTTTCTTTGTTAAAAAGTCAGTTTATGAGGATTTAGGGAGCTGTTAAAGACTCCTAGCACTCACTGAGACATTCCCCTTGATGAATTCAGAGAACTGAAGAGAAAAGAAAAGGGAATGACTTCCTCACCTCGTGATTCAGTGCTATGTCTGTGAATTGTTTACAGTCACCTTGCACACCACCCCAAAGCATTGAGCACCTGTCAGATGACAGCATCCAACAACTTGGAAACGTTGTATGATCTTGAGCAAGCTGTTTTTATTTTTATTTATTCAAGATATTTTAACATTTACTTGTGCATATTGGTGGGGTACAGTGTGT